AAGGTTTGTGCCTAGAAAATAAGGCCAGTGCACATATTTCTGTTTATGTTATTTGGTGTTTTTATTTATGATCACATTATTTCACAATTAAAAACTTGAAAAGAGAAAAGCTATCCAACATATGCTTATATGTTAAGAACATTTATATATACATTCCAAATCTTTACATTTTCATTCATTCATATATTAAAAATGACTTTCAAACATGATAGAGTGACGAAACTTTGGGAGCAAAGCTCTTTTATTTATGTCATTAGGTGCCACTGTCACACAAAAAAGTTCACACTCAGAAAAATTCTTACGATGGAATATTCACATAAATTAAGTTTTGGGTACCATATGACAAAATCCACCTATATTCTCCAAATCTAACTTCATTGTGTCCTTTGATTTTGATACTAGTAAAGAAATAATATAAACAGGAATGTGATGGTACAAAGAAAACTCCTACATTCATGGAAGAGAGGAAACTGGTCTTGACCTGAGAGTACATGGCTGCCCAGCAAGGCACGAAAGAATCATGAACCAAATATATTTAGCCACTTACTGGGATGCATGCTACACAGGGTGCTTTTGCTTGCTCAGAATTGAGTGTCTACCTTCGTGGCCCATGTTTTGTAATCCTTTTCAAAACCCCCTTGTCAACGGAATGCCTCACCGGACAGCAGCCACACAAGCTTCTCTGGGGAAACCGCTCCCTATTTATGTGGTGCCTTCCAGAACTTCCTAAGTGAACATTACCAGTACCACCAGCTCCTGTATATATTGTCCATATTCTTAGCCTATGTATTAAGTCATTCCATACTAAAGTCATACTCCATATTTTGGGAAAATTCATCCACTAATTTTTGAGAGGAGTGAAAGCAAGAGGGAAGAAACCTAATTTTATTATTATGGATTGTGCGCCAAGGACACAGGCGACCTGGACTTCCGTACATCCAGTCATCTCAGCCATCTTAATCCATACTCTGCTTCCCGGAGAAAGATGCCCTTCCTCCAGTGGCTTCTGCTGTCATACTCTTTCAGCGTTGCACAGTCACAAGATCCTGAGGGCTCCTCAGTGAGGACAGAAGCTGCTGCCGATGGTGCCTTGATGATCAGCATACGTCTCTTCTTGGGGGTCTTCAGTCTTTGAGGAAAAGAGATGGGTACACAAGAGCATCTAAAGCTGAGCTGTTCCATTTGGTGGCCATGAGCCACATACAGCTATTTAAATGAATTAAAATTAAATTAAAAATTAAGGTCCTTGGTCGCACCAGATGTATTTCAAATGTGCAATAGCCACATGTGGTTGCTGGCTGCGGTATTGGACAGCGCAGCTATAGGACATTAATATTGCTCCCTAAAGTTCCATTGCTTCGGAGAGGCACAATATCATTTTATTATTAATAAAACGATACTGACGACCAGTGTTAACTGGCACTAATAAAAATCACTGCAAACGTATGCTTTTGAGAATAAGAACTACCATCCTGTAAGAATACCTACTGGTAAAGTAATATTGTATGGTTGTTTTAAACAACTTTATTCAGACATAATTTATAAATAATCTATAATTTCCCTATTAAATTCCCATGAAATCCCCCTATTCTAAGTATACAATTTGATGACTTTTAGTAAATTTGTAGAATGATACAGCCATCACCACAATACAATTTTAGAGCATCCATCACCCCACAAAATTCCCTTGTGCTTGTCCATCCCCACCCCTACCCCAGCCATAGGCACCTACTGATTTGCCTTTTCTGGAGCTTTTATGTAAATGGAACAATAATACATATAGTCTTTTGTATCTAGCATTTTTTTGCTTAGCAAAATATTTTTAGAGTGCATTCATTTATCTCATGTATCAGTGTTTCTTCCTTTTTATGGCTGTATAGTATTCTACTATATAGAGGTACCATATCATAATATTGTTATATTATTTTTTAACTATATAATATTTTTGCTATATAATATTATTATAGTTTGCTAATTGATGCCATGAATTCAGCATTTGAAATAGGCCAGATTTGTTCATTGATGTTTCATTTGTGAACCTGTAGACTATGTTTTTTCATAACTTAAAAATACCTACCTAAATGAATGCAATGTGCATAAATGTTTTTTAAATGCAAAGAGAACTATTGTATGCACCTTTTGGTAATCCTCTGTTTGCTTTGACTTAAACAATGAACCAATGAACCTCTGTGTTTTGTTGCAAAATGTATAAATGTTAACTGATACTGCTCTTAGATGAAATGCTAATTAATGTTAAATCATGAAGAAGCAGTATTTTAAATAGTAAAAAAAATTGATTGATGTAAATTGATTAACATTTGTTAATTGATGCTTTTATGCTGTCCATCTGACATTAAATTTGCTGGAAATGCCAGTAAACCTTTTATGATATTGCTAGATTTATACAAGCCTTTAAAATGGGGTTTTTGATTCCCATTAGCTATGATAGGAAATTAAGGGTTGAAACCACCAGGATTTTGTGATTTGTCTCAGACCATAGTGGTGATAAGTAGCAGACATTGGGTGCTGAGATTCAGCTACTTGGTAATTCAAAACACATGGCATTTGTTTTATTGGGGCGTTTTTTTTTTTTTTTAGATATAATTGATATATAAAATTGTGTAAGTTTAAGGTGTACAAAGCATTGATTTGGTACATTTATATATTGCAATTTGGTCATCACCTTGGCCTTAGCAAACACCTCCATACTGGCACACAATTATCTTTTGTGTGTTTGTGTGTGTGTGTATTAAGAACAATTAATATTTAGCCTCTTAGCAACTTTCAAGTTTATGATTCAGTGTTGTGGGCTATAATCATTATGCTGTGTGCCAGATCTCCAGGATTTATTTACAAGCTATAAGTTTGTACTTTAAATAGCGCCCCCCCACCCCCCCCGCAATTCCCCTGACACCCAGCTCCTGGTAACCACTGTTCTACTCTCCATCTTTAGTAGTTCGGTCAAAGAACATTTTGAACACGGCATTAATTGGCCTCCTAATTGTGTGAATTGAGGGTGTCCATGTAAACAGAGTATGGGAGAAACCAGGAAGAAGATGGGACTTGCCTGGGTGGTGAGTGAGCGCTTGGGGGGATTTTGAAGAGGAAAACTCACCGAAAGCGATACACTTTCCGGGTTGGACAAATCTGCACGTGAGTGAGAGGAAAAAAATTTCAGTTCCCAGATGGCAGGAGTTGAGCTGGTGACTTTCTATACTGTGTTTCTTTCCTAGGTTCTTCCCTTATTGCTTACCTGAAGGATCCTGCTTGGGAAATCTGGAATGCCTGGTTCTGAGAGAGACACATACATTAAAGCATAGGATCTGATGATTTGGAGGGATGATAAGGGCTTTGGAGAGGAGAGGAGAAAGGTCACAGTGTGGGCTGGGAGACAGGGGTTGTCACAGGGAAGAGAGTGGGGCTGGGCATGAGAAATAGGGTCTGTGCACATGGGATCTCTGGAGGATGGAGTACGAGTTAAGCAGGGCACAAGAGTGGCCAAGTAGATCTACCTCTTGGTGGATTCTTCATGTGATGAACCTGTAAGAGAATACAGGGGAGGATTTATCTAATGAACCTTCTCTTTACTTCCCTTCCCAGCGTTTTAACCAGTGCTTCTCTGAACTCACCATACTGAGTGCATCTGTAGATAAGGAAGATAGAAGGGAAGAGGAGAAAGATGATGAGGCAGCTGAAGGTGGTGACAAAGATGATTCTGGTGTCTGGAGGGAGAGGAGGAGGACAGAGAAACAGTTTGGCTCCTGAAACACACTGATGAAGTTTACCAGAACAGCTGCCTTATCTTACTCAGCATAACACCCTCTAGGTCCATCCATGTTGTCCCAAATAATAGGCTTTCATTCTTTTTTTATGGCTGAGTAATATTCCATTGTATATATGTACCACCTCTTCTTTATCCGATCATCTGTTGGTGGACGCTTAAGTGGCTTCCATGTCTTAGCTACTGTAAATAATGCCGCAGTGATCATAGGGGTGCATATATCTTTTTGAGTTAGTGTTTTGAATTTATTTGGATAAATTCCCAGAAGTAGAATTGCTGGATCATACAGAAAAAGGCAAATAGCATATGATTTAACTTACATGTGGAATCTGAAAGAAAAAAAAACAGAAACAAACTCATAGATACAGAGATGGGAAGGGAGTTGGGAGGTTGGATGAAAAAAGTGAAGGGACTAAGAAGTACAAATTGGTAGTTACAAAGTAGTCACTGGATGTAAAGTACAGCACAGGGAATATAGTCAATCATATTATAATGATTCTGTATGGTGCCAGGTGGGTACTAGACTAGTCAGGGGTGACCACTTTGTAAGGTATATAAATGTCTAATCACTATGCTGTATACCTGAAACTAATATGATATTGCATGTCAACTGTAATTGGAAAATAAATCTTAAAAACATGGAGCTGCCACTTCAGAGCAAGAATGTCCCATTGCTTTAGTCATTTTGCTTAATCTGCCTGAACTTTCATTTCCCTATTCAAAGTGAAGGTAACGATTATAGGTACTTTACTGGACATTGGAGAGATTAAGTGGGTGGACATGTTTCATTCATATGTAAACCAAACACCAGGAAGTCAGCTGAGTTCCCCGAAGGCAGGAGGGGCTTGGATCCTCATGTGTCTAAGTCTTTAGCTAGTCTGCCACAAGGTCAGGGTCACTCTGGGTTGGCCGCTGGGTGTCAAAATTCAAAAGACATGATATTCTAAACCTGCTTCAGAGAACTGATAATCTGATGAGATAATGTGTGTATCCAACTAAACTGTAATGCTACAGAGGTGATAACAAGTCCAATGACAGGCAAACAGAAGTCCAAACTCTCACCCAGTTCCAGAATCATTATATATATGTAGTAAGCTGGTAAAAAGGTACAAATATTCAGTTACACACACACACACACACACACACACACATACATGTATGTATATGTGTATGTATATGTGTATATATATGTATATACACACACGACTGAATGTTGTTCAGCTGTGAGAAAGAGGAGCATCCTGCCATTTGCAACATGGACCTGGAGGGCATTAAGCTAAGTGAGATAAGCTAGACAGAGACAAATAATTCATGGTATCACTTATGTGTGGAATCTAAATAATAATAATTCATAGAAACAGAGTAGAATGGTGGTTGCTGGGAGCTGGAGGGGGATAGCAAGAAGCTGGTAAAAAGGTACAAATTTTCAGTTATAAGAAGTTAAAAGGTCTGAGGATCTAATGTATAACACAGTGACTATAGTTGATAATACTGTATTGTATATTTAAAATTGGCCAGGAGAGTAGATCTTAAGCGTTCTTACCAAAAAAAAGAAAAAGAAAAAAAAGGTAAATATGGGAGGGAAGTTGAGAGATGTGTCCATTAACTCAATGGGGGCTCCTTTCACAATGTATACATATCAGATCAACATATTATATACTTTACGTTACTTACCAGTTATACCTTCAAGGAAGCTGGGAAAAACAGGAGTGGAGAAAAGGAGATAAGAACACCTAACTTGAAGAGACAGGTAATGATGAAAAGCACAGGGTTGACAGCACCTAGTCTAGAATCCAACTTACCGTGTGGTATATGAGATTGCAGTGACAATGATGGTTTCCTCACCCAAATCCCACCCACGCCCATCTCCCTCTGTAACAAATACTGTCGCTGCTCCTGCACCATGTTCCCAGACCCCTTTACCAACTTTATGCACTCTTGATCATGGTTTCTTTCCCTTTCCTAGTGAATATTTGCATCTGGAAGGATCCGAAATGCCTTGAAGTTTATGTGCCTCAGGGTCACCCCTTTACCAATGAGTGCTCTTTGTGGGAGCACAAATGCCTTGGCTCCCCAGCCTCCCATACTTGTGACCTCTCTGTGTCCTGCACTTCCCTGCAGGATTGAGCAAAAGATGAAAGACTGGACTACTCCAATGTTGTCTGGTCTTTTTTCCTCAAAATCCTTCTTCCCCACTCTCTTACAGTGTCACTTTGCACTAATACTTCTCTAAGAGTCTGCTTTCAGTGGCGCCAAATCAAAGAGACCCTCAAAAGCAAGAATTCTATCGGAGCATCTCCATGGATGTATGAAAATAGGGCAGGAACAGCTGTTTCTGGACTATCAGGATCCCTTGATAGAAGCGGACAAACATCCGCCCTGCCTTAACCCTTCAGCTCCTCCCTTGTCTAGGCACAGTTTTTCTCACATAGCAATTCACTAGAAATGAGAAGTAAATTATTACAAAATTGTCCTCTTCCTATGGCTCCACAACCCGTTGAACTGAGTTCACCCTGAGATGTCCACATCTCTATTTACAAATTTCACATTTCCATTTACAAATTTCCAAAATAAATTACAAAGCGTCTATGAAATTGTCTGAGGGAATTGACTGAGCAATGGGGTTCAGCTTGACCCCAGAAAGAAAGCCTGGCCCCAAAGAGAAAGCCTGGCCTTGTGTCAAAGTTAGTGATGAAATTCATTATCAGTCTGCACAGAATTAGAGCACAGGGTTCCTACTGGCAGCTTTGAGGCACATGTACACAGGCTGGGGACAGCATATCTGTGCTTAAAGATTTGTTATTCTGTTTAGAATTGTAGTGATATAAACATAAACTCAGAAAGTACATTTTAAGAAATGATATACACACCTTCCAGGATGGCAATAATAAAATAGTAATTAACAAGTGTTGGCAAGAATGTGGAGATATTGGGACCCACATATTCGACTGGTAGGAAGGTAAAATGTTGCAGTCACATTGGAAAACAGTCTGGTAGTTCCTCAAAAAATTAAACATAGGGTTACCATATGTCCCAGCAATTCTACTCATAGGTAGACACCCAACTGAGAAGAGATATTTGTACACTCGTGTTCATAGCGGCATGAATTGCAATAGCCAGAAGATACCAAAACTGTACATCAACCGATCAGTGCAGAAACAAAAGGTGCTCTATCCACACAATGGAATAGTATTCAGCCAAGAAACAAAATGAAGTACTGACGCACACTACAACCTGGATGAATCTTGAAAACGTTAAGAGAAAGAAGCCAATCTCAAAAGACCGCATGCTATGTGAATCTTCTTATAGGAAACACCCAGAGGAGACGATACCATACAGTCAGACAGCTGATTAATGGTTGGCAGGGCCTGGTGGGAGAGATGGGATGGGGAGTGACTGCTTAGTGGGTGGGAGATTTCACTTGGAGAATTATACAGTGGAGATCATTGCACAGCCTTGCAAATATACTAAATGCCACTGAGTTGTACGCTTTAAAAGGGCAGAGTCCTGGAATGTGAATGATACATCAATAAAAAAGAAAATAAATTATACAAGAACTGAAAATATGAAAGCTTCTCTTCCTCTTCCCTTTCACACACCACTACACTTTCTACCTCATCTCTTGATACTTCCATGCACCTCGACTCTATCATATTTCAGAGCTCTCCAAGAAAACATTTCCTGGCATGAACTACATTCACATAGCTGGAGTAACAGCCATGGCCCAAGCCCGCTGAAACTGAATAAAAACGTTTCTAACACAAGTACTTATTTTGCAAGCACACTTTTCGAAAAAATGAATTATACCAACATAGGCTCTAAAGACAACTTTTAACAATCTTGGCTGTTTGGAGTAGACTGCGGACAGGTTATGAGTTGCTAAAAAAAAAAAAAAAATGGGTTGAGAAGATGATTAAGCATTTAGATGCCATTAAATTCTGGATGAGTTCCTGTTTCGGTCTAAAGCTGCCAAAAGCCCCAATTTTTACAAGCCTGAGGACAGAATCTTAGTCAATTCCTCATAGAAAAGCAACATCAGAGAAAAAGAATTTAACATTCACCTATTTTTGAGAACTTTAAAATTTTTGCTTAAAACTTAAAGTTCTTCAATCATATATACTCTCAAAGTACCTCGACTCCACAGGTTCCAGTCCTGTTTCCCAGACCAGTCATATAAACTACCCCCCAAACCACACAAAATGCCACCATCATTTTTCATTATATAAAATGGCAGACAATGCACCTTATGATGTTTTACTCACCAGATTTTTCAGACCTGGGAGTGCTTAAAGGTCATCTTCTCAAAAAGAATATTATTTTCTCTGGTCACATTGAGAAAGTGGGCTTTAAGATTCTCCTTGTTCTTTTTAATCAAATGGGGATCCCTTGCCTCGTAAGGTGGATAGAACTGGGAAAAACAGCTCTTCTTAATTGTCTTACCTGTTTTTACTGAGGAAGCTCTGTGTCCATCATGGTCATCTAAAAAACAGTGTGCAAGAGAAGTAATCACAATGATTATGTGGGGACCTCGGGGACGTAGGTTCTCATGTTTTATTTATGGACTCTTTGGGTAGTGGAGAAGAGAACATCTTCTCCACATTCTAGGTGCTCACTAGGTTCCCAAACAAGGGCCAGAACATTAGAGTACAATTCTTAATACTCTTGGAATTTAGTATTGTTTTCATTAACAAAATAGTTATGAATGACACTGCTAATTCCCTGCCTTCCAATCCTATTCCTTGCCAATCTTCCCTATCCCAGGAAAGAGCACCATTTTGAAAACATTTTCTCCCATTTGGTAGGTTGCCTTTTCATTTTGTTGATGGTTTCTTTTGCTGAGCAGAAGCTTTTTCATTTAATGTGTCCCACTTATTTATTTTTGCTTTTGTTTCTTATGCTTTTGGTGTCATATCCCCAAAAAATTGTTGCTAAGACCAATGTCAAGGAGACTTCCCCTATGTTTTTCTTCTAGAAGTTTTATGGTTTGGGAGGAGGTCTTATGTTTAAGTCTTTAATCCATTTCGAGTTAATTTTTGTGAGTGGTGTAAGATGAAGTTCCAATTACATTCTTATGCATGTCATTATCCAGTTTTCCCAACATCATTTATTGAAGAAACTATCCTTTCTCCAATGAGTACTTTTGGCTCCCTTGTCAAATATTGGTTAATCATATATATGAGGGTTTGTTTCTGGGCTCTTGATTCTGTTCTGTTGATCTATGTGTCTATTTTTATACCAGTACCAAACTGTGTTGATTATTATAGCTTTGTAATATAGTTTGAAATCAGGAAGTGTGATGCCTCTAGCTTTGTTCTTTCTCAGGATTCCTTTGACTATTCAGGGTCTTTTGTCTATTCCATAGAAATGTTAGGATTGTTTGTCCTATTTCTGTGAAAAATGCCATTGGAATTTTGATAGAGATTACATTGATCTATAGACAGCTTTGGGGAATATGGAAATTTTAACAATACTAATTCTTCTGATCCATGAACGTGAGATGTCTTTTCATTTGTTTCTGTTTTCTTTACTTTCTTTCATTGGAGTCTTGTCATTTTCATTGTACCTATTTCACCTCCTTGGTTAAATTTATTTCTAAGTATTTTATTGTTTTTGATGCTATTGTAAATGGGATTGTTTTCTTTATTTCTTTTTCAGATACTTTGTTGTTAGTATATAGAAATGGAACTGATTAATGTATGTTGATTTTATATCTTGCAACTTAACTGAATTTGTTGATTAATTCTAACAGTTTTTTGGTCTTGTCTTTAGGATTTTCTATATATAAGATTATATTATCCTCAAATAAAGACAATTTTACTTCTTCCTTTGCAATTTATATGCCTTTTATTTCTTTCCTTTCCTGATTGCTCAGGCTGGGACTTCCAGTACTCTGTTGAATAGGAGAGGTGAGAGTGGGCACCTAGAGGAAAAGATTTCAACCTTTCCCCATTGAGTATGATATTAGCTATAGATTTGTCATAAATTGCCTTTCTTCTATTGAGGTATGTTCCCTCTATACCCACTTTGTTGAACGTTTTTATCTTGAAAGGATGTTATCTTTTGTCCAGTGCTTTTTCTGCATCTATTGAGATGATGATATGATTTTTATCCTTCATCCTATTAATGGAGTGTATCACATTATGTATGTTGAACTATCCTTGCATCCCAGGAAATAATCCCACCTGACCACAGTATGTGATCTTTTTTAATGTGCTGGTTAATTCAGTTTGCTAACATTTTGTTGAGAATTTTTGCTTATGTATTTATCAGGGATATTGGTCTGCAATTTTCTTTTCTTGTAATGTCCTTATCTGGCTTTGGTATCAGGGTAAAATGAGTGTAGGAGAGTTTCCCGTCTTCAATTTTTTTGAAGAATTTGAGAAGAATTGGTATTATTTCTTCTTTAAATGTTTGGTAGTGTTCATCAGCAAAGCCATCTTGTCCTGGACCTTTTTTCTTTTTTTTCTTTTTTTTTTTTTTTTAGTTGGAAGACTTTTGATTCCTGGACTTTTTTTGTAGTTGTTATTGGGAGATTTTTTTTGTAGTTGTTGTTGGGAGATTCAATCTCCTTATTCTTACTGGTCTGTTCAGCTTTTCTATTTCTTTGTGACTCATCTCAGTACGTAGACTTACACAAAGGCTCTCTCATCTTTAGATGATTTTCCAAGTCCACATTCTCCAAGTGCTCTCAGACCACAGCCAAGAGGGGCTAAAACTGGTTAACAGTCTCCTGCTGGTTGCACAGCTGGTACCAAGGTCTGTCTGCCTGCAATCTTATGTATAGGTGGGTGAGACTTCTCCCAGTTCCCTTGGCATATGATGCTGAACCCCATGGCTCCCCACAGAGGCACTTTTGTTCGTGGATAGATGCTGAGTTTTTGTTTTTGAAGGGAGGGGACAGAAACAAGGGATGTCTTGTGCTGCCATGATCATCAGTTAGGTTTTTTCCTTAGTTTCTTGACTTATAGTGGTTTGGGGATCCTGTGTTTTCAGCAGAGCAGTAATGATACATTCAATTCTGTCGCATGGAATCAAACACTGGAGTGTCATACTGTGGCCTGGAATCATGTCAGGGTCTACATTGACTGACAAGGGAAGTTTTAGAAGTGATCTTGAAGAAGACAAGGCAATGGGGGTGGAGGGAAGGACCAAGGCTTCCCGTTTTCCACTGCATCTGGAGATTTTCTCACCTTTCTCTCTGTATTAACCATGTCTTTTATTTTCTGCATTTAATGCCTTGACCTTGCTGACCCTGGAGGGATTCTTTTCTCAGGGTTATCCAGTTCCTGGGGATGGGAAACAACTCTCCCTCAAGCTTACCTTTCAAGTGCAAGCCCACCAATCCAGAACTCACAATCCTGCCACCTCCTTCACTGGGCTCACACTCAGGGCCTCATTATCCCAGACAACGAGTGACAGCCTCTATACCCCAACCCTGAGCCTGTTGTTTCCCACAGAAACCACAATAAAGGCTCTTGCCCACAGTCCTCGCCCTCTTTCTGCTTTCGGATTGACCCTGGTCTTCCTCGTGTGGCCCTGCATGGCATGGTATGTCCCCAGACTGTACCACATTATTTCTCCCATGACAATCAGATCTTGATCTCTTGGCCTTATTGCATCTCGAATTTTCTGTTAATACCTCTGTTCTAAAACACTGTCTCACATCCACATCATTGAGACCCACTCAGAATCCC